GCTTAATTTCAACCTTCTCCACATATGTTGTGTCATTAACATGTGTATATGGTGACAGGAAGACAGATTATGACATAATACACTACAAACAATATACTGTGCTGTTATTATGTATTACCTTACAAAATACTTTTACAAAATTTGACCACCACCGGACTTTAAGGGCCAAGAAAATTAACACTATGAGTCTAATTAACAGCCAAGAAAACCAACGTGTGGAATGATTGAGAGATTTGTCCCGGTGGCAAGTGGTGATGAGCCCGGAAGCTGGCATCTCTATACCTCAATGCCACTCCTTCCCAGCACTTCACAGCTTCTAACGACTTGCTATGCCTTACTACTTGTTGAGGAACCAAATTAGAAATGACATTATAATATTTAAGATAGAGACCCAGCCTGAATATAGAGATCTAGAGACTCTTGTAAATGTATCTAACTCATATCCCAAATTAGGACAATTAACTAATGATGTAAATGATTCCCATTCAAACTGGTGTAATGCCTGTAACTGTGAAGCATATAGTTATCTTTCATGACCCCTGAGTTGCAGCACTGATATTTCCTACTTTTGGGATCTGGAGCATGTCAGTTCTACCTTTTCATTCCTTCATTTCTCCATCTATAAAGGGGGATAACAATAGTATCTACCTTCATTCAAAACTCTTACCACAGTTGCTGGCATAGTGGGCAGGCTTAATGAATATTATCTAGTATTATTACTGTTTTATAATAAAATTATTGGGGCACCTGGGTGGCTCAGTCGGTTAAGCGTCCGACTGCAGCTTAGGTCATGATCTCACGGTTCGTGGGTTCGAGCCCCACGTCGGGCTCTGTGCTGACTGCCGGCTCAGAGCCTGGAGCCTGTTTCAGAGTCTGTGACTCCCTCTCTCTCTGACCCTCCCCTGCTCACGCTGTCTCTCTCTCTCTCTCCTAGAAATAAAACATTAAAAAAAATTTAAAAACTTATTATTTTTATCATCATCATTCAGACTATCTCAAATTTTATTGCTAGCTATTAATTTATAGATCCTGTTAGTCAGGTCAAATCCCAAAATCCAATGAGTCCCTCATTCTCTTTTTGGTAAAATGAAGTGATGGGGTTAAATAATCTCAGAGATCCCTCAAAGTTATAAAATCAGATATTCTTTTTGGTAGAGCTTTAAAATAAATTTCTTCAACTGAAATAATCCCAGCTTAACTGAAATAATCAGTAATGTTTAGGAAAAACTTTTTTTCAAAGAAAGGAAAAATATAATAAATACTTTAGTGAATGTGGGAGACTCGTATATTAAATATCACTTAATCATTAGTATTTAAGGACGTTAATTTAAATCTCCTGAAAGCCAGTTTGGCACAGTATAACTTCAGCACACCGAACATACAATATACAACTGCAGGCATTTTTTTAAAATATTTTTTTAATGTTTTGTTTATTTCTGAGAGAGAGAGAGAGAGAGAGAGAGAGGGAAGGAGAGAGACAGCGTGAGCAGGGGAGGGTCAGAGAGAGAGGGAGACACAGAATCCGAAGACAAGCTCCAGGCTCTGAACTGTCAGCACAGAGCCCGACGCGGGGCTCGAACCCACGAACCGTGAGATCATGACCTAAGCTGCAGCCGGAAGCTTAACCGACTGAGCCACCCAGGCGCCCCAACCGCAGGCATTTTTTAACTTTCCGTGTCTTCTAAGTCAGTGGTTCTCACAGCACGGTCTACCAGCAGCTTTACTCTCACCTGAGTACTTGTCGGAAATAGAAGTCCCAGGGTCTCATTCCAGACCTCCTAGGTCAGAGACTCTTGGGGTAGGATCCAGCAATCTGTGTTTTATTAAACCCTTCCAGTGATTCTAATGACGCTGAAGACAGAGAGCCACTTTCCAAGTGAAGAATGGAAAAGAAAGCTCCGTTTCTGATAAACGTTTACTGAAGCAGTTGAAACTGTAATTGAGTGTGGCCTTGAATCTGGCCTTAGATGACGTCAAAGAGAAAGGTCTGCTGGAAATAATTAAAAGTCAAGTAACCAATCAATTGGCTCAAAATGGGGCTAACAAGTCACTCTCAGTTATTCCCTGCAGAGAAGTAAGGTACTCAGAAGGTTAAAGAAAAGTTCAATAAAATTATCAGAGAGTATCAGAGTAATTGTAGCAAGGGAGCAATCCGCAGGAACACGTAACATTCTATCTTCTTGTTTAGTGTAGAGAACCACACATTCTCTATGCTGTCTACTATGAAAGAAATTAAATATTACTCCTTCTATTTTGTGATAGTAAAATAAAAACAAAACATTAGAACTCAATACCCTGATTAATGTTGGCCTACATTAAATAGGTAAGGAAATATTTAATGATCTGTGTCCATCTATTTAGCTAGCAAAACTGAAATATCTTCATTACATGCTGCATCGAGACAGTCTTTTTAGTAGGCTAATAACCACAAACAGTTAAACAATTTATAAGGGTGGGGAGCCTTGTTGGCTCAGTCGGTTAAACATCCGACTTCGTCTCAGGTCATGATCTCACGGTTCGTGGGTTCGAGCCCCACACTGGGCTCTGTGCTGACAGCTGGCTCAGAGCCTGGAGCCTGCTTCAGATTCTGTGTCTCCCTCTCTCTCTGACCCTCCCCTGCTCTCTCTCTCTCTCTCTCTCTCTCTCTCAGAAATAAATAAAACATTAAAAAAAAACAATTTATAGGGGTAAGAAGAGAACATCAACAGCAGAGCAATAGGAAGACAGGTGACTTCATTTGCTTCAATGTCCTCATTATCATCTATATATCAACTCCAGACCCCTTTCTTAGGTCCAAAATTTTGAATTGCCTCCTAGATGTCAATTTCCATAAGCTAAAAACTGAGTATATCCAATCAGGTTCCACAGACCATGTCCCAGAGTCCCTATCCCAGTGAATGGAGTTAATTTTTCCCAGGAATATACCCTTGAACAACCTTCCTCCTTCTTCTTCAAGCCCTTCTCCTGCCCCCTTACGCCCTCTACCCACCAACAGTTTGTATTTCCCAAATCCAGTCAGTAGAATTCATCATTACCTGAGGATTTATTTCTCCTTCATCTTTTTCCATTGCGATGACCTTTTTTTTTTCCCCCCACATCCCCATGATATTTTCCTGTTTCTTTTCACAACTAGATCTTAAGACTCCAGAGAACAGGAACAATGTCTGCTCCCTAGCGCCCAGGACAACACCACCAGGCAGAGTAGGCGTATGCACACTATAAATTGTTCCCTGGCGAATGTACCCAAGCTAATCTAAAATCTCATAGCCCCTATGACTTCAAGATGCCATCATACACCACATCTCTTTTCAGAGAAATAAATTAATATGTGACAAACTACAAAAGAAGAGTATACTTCCTAATCCCCATCTGTCACATTTTAAATACTTAAGTGTTCTAATAATCAGATTTGTGTAATTTTTACTTTAGATCCTCTTTCTTGACTCATTTTAAGACAAATTATCTTTTTTTTGGTCCCATTGGATATTATTGTTTTCAAGTATTAATATTTGGCTTCAGTGGCCTCAATGGATTAATGGCAATGTGTTCCAGAGTCTTTGAGGGGATAACCGTGAGACTGGAAATTAGGAAAATTATAATGATACACAAAATGGCTTACAACAATCATAAGAATCATCTAAGAAACTACAATTTATAAGAGAAAGGATTTCTGTCAAGAACACGTTTGCTGCATACAACACACTGATTTACGGAAGCTGTTATTCCAGAAGATGCTGGCTGAACCTAAGGGGTGTAGTATCTAAGTAAATCACAGATAAACAGCCAAGCTCTAAAGGGATTTACTATTCCCAACCCCCCAACCTGGAGAATATCTTTTGTGCACTACCCCGTATATATTTTGTGTTCTCACACTCTCACTTTCATTGAACAATGTACCAGAAACTCTTGGGTAAGTTGGATTCCCTCTTTGAAAATTATAAAGTTCAAACAAGAAGATACATTCTTTTTTTTTTTTTTTTCCCTCGGTGCCTTCACCCAAGAGGAATTCTAGAATGTACAAATAGGAAAGGAAAATTCTTGGCCAGCAAATAGATACAAGAGAAATCTTCCAGAAACACATGGCCTGGGATATTTCTGACTCCTGGCACACTACAAACCTTTACTGCCTTTTGTTAATAATCAGGGCTCAGATCAAGTGCCTGGAAGGAGCCAGGACCTACTTGTGAGACTAGTTTAGCTCAGAAGTTGAATATCTTCCAACAAACACTCTCATAATAGCAGATATCTTCTCCAGACACCAAATTACTCTGGCCAGCACAAATGTCATTTGCTAAAGAGACATTGAAATGTATGGCCTGTGTTCTCTAAAAAACAGAGTTAAGGCTATTCACTAATAAATGTAAAGAATATGTTTAAGGGCAATTTTGTTCAATAGATTTGTTGCAATCTAAAATGATTCCAAAAAAAGTTAAACTACTAAAAAAAAAAAAAAAATCCAGACCACGGTTAGGACACCTGTCTTATGGTCGCCTATATAGACAGAAGACAAGAGGTGGAAAGTAAAAGGCCATTGTTATTAAAAACGATAGGGCATGATTGAAGAAGGAATTTCAAAATCACAGGGTGACTGAAGCAGTTGGATCTGAACTTACACAGATGAAAACAGACTTCTACTCATTCCTATCTGTGTCCTGTACTCTCTTAGTGGTAAAAACCTGGGGTATAACATCTATCTTTAGATGTTACCATTACCTGTCCACTCCTGTCTGGGTTTGTACCAGTTTCAAAGGATGGACGAAACAAGTGAATTTTCTACCAGTAAAATGTCAGCAATGTGATGGGAAGAGAACATACAGACAACAGAATATGAAACAGACAACAGAATATGAAACAGACAACAAAAAGCCAGCAACACAACAAGCCAAGAAGCATTGTCCTTATGGAGTGTGGTTTTGGGGAAGCTGAGGTTCAGCCAAGGGAAGTGGTGGACGTGAGTAAAAATGGACCCCTCTTTTTTTTTTTTTTTCAGGAGACGTCCAGCCATGAACTTGTTCTGCAAATAACGGCGAGCATCTTGATAAAAGACCCCAGGACAGCAGAGATAACAGTAGCCACAGCAGAACTAGCTTTAAAAGAATGTAACATCTCCTAACAGTCTATCACTGGCAGAGCTTGCGCAATATCCAATGCAGCCGGAATTGCTAGAGTGTAATAACACACATTTTAAGATTTTACTTTAAAAGACACATTTTGAGCCACTGCAGTTTATGCAATGTCTTTACAATTAGTCAATTAGACTTGCACGGAAGTGAAAAGTTCAGTGTGAGGGGAAAAAGGATCAAATAGACAATTCAGACACAGGGCAGTCGGAAAGGGAAGGATCTAGACAGATAAAAGCAGATTCCTTATTTGTTCCTGTCTATGATTTCTCCACTTCCTCAGTGGTTAAAAAAAAAATCCCAAACAAAAACAACAGGAAGACAGGGGAAAAAAACTCCACAAATTGGATGTAGAATTGTGTGCCTTTTTAGTTTATTTTCTATTGATGACACTAAGATACAGCTATACTTTTAAGACAGTCAAGCCTATAGTCAGAGTTTGGTTATTTTCTAGTAATCCTTTTTTTATAATTTGCTTCAATTTAAAAGAATCCACTGGAGTTTGCTAGTGAACAGTATCAAAATTAGGTGATACAATTCACTTTTGCAGCAAGATGTGGGGTTCCAGATTAAACAGGAAAAGAGCAAAAAGAATGCAGCCTGTCGCTGCAGAATGATGAAAAGTGAAAAAGGACAAACAGCCACACATACACAGAGCGAACCCCAAACAACATTCTAGGCTGGGCATTACAAAGAGATGTTTCCAATGTACGGGAAGCCAACATAGGCCACTTTGTTTTGCTTTAGCTCTCACTCAAGGTCTGATTTGCGAGGCAGGCGGTATAGGTAACGGAGATGGTTGGTGGGTAGTAAGTGTGTATCTACCAGTATTTATCATCATGGCCCTGACTTCTGATTCTTAAAGTGTGAGGAGAACTTGAAGATCCATAGAAACCCTCTCCAAGTAAAATATATTAAAAATGGTGTTTTTGCACCTACCTGTTTTTCTCCACTGGGCTTTTTGTGATTCAGTAACAGCTCAACAGCTCCAACGACTTCTTTCCTAATAGCGTGTAATAGAGCATCTCCAACATAGACATTAAAGCTTAAAAGTAGTTCGATGAGCTCCAAGTTCTCATTTTCAATTGCAATGAGGAGAGCAGTTCTTCCAAGAGGATCAATGCAATTAATATTGATTTTAAAATAAATTTCAGCTTCCTCCAGGGATTTCTTGACACTTGCATAATCTCCCTTTTCCACGGCATTTAAGTAGGCTTTTTCTGATGGTGAGAGTTCCGATTCCGCTCGGACTATCCTTAGAGGGATGCGATCTCTGTAGGGGGCATTGACATTTCTTTTGTAATAGAACTGAGCCATGTTTCATGCCATGCTATTCCCTTGTCTCTGAAAGTGCAAACAGAATCCCAAAAAAACACAAGGATTAGTGCTAATGCCCTTTTTAATCATTATGTGTCACATTTAACAACTAGTATGCCAATAACAGCGATACCATTATTATGTAATGAATCTTTTCTCCTTCAACAGTGGAAATAGGCAGTAATTATTCAGTTATCTAGAAATGTAGGTTACAAAATCCTAGTCTAAGAGGAATAAAAAGTTAGAAAAGTTACTTTAAAAGTGGCATTTGTCAGTGGAGGTACCTGTAATTTTTGGAAATTACAAAACTTATCATAAATATATACAATTTTTAACAGAGAACCCGGAAAATCAAAGGCTGTATCTTTGAGGTCCTAAAACGGGACCAGGGATATTCAAATGTATCATTTACCATTAATTTTTCTAGACATATAGACACTATTGAAATTATGAAATATCACCATCTTAGTAAAATGCTTTTCATTTGTAATGTATCTATTCTTAATGTTATTAAGTACTGACATCAAAGTTAATGTGAATTAATGATATTACTGTCAATGAAATATCATACTGAGCCTGATGAGTGTAATTTTTTCCTCTTTGTAAGTGAATTCACTTGAGGGGGAAAGAAGGTGTACTGATGATATTAATGATCAAGGTGAGTCTAAGCAATTCAATTCCCAAATGAAGAATTTAGAAATGTTCATATAGAGAAAGCTTATTATGAACATGCTATTTTCTTAATTCTATTACCTTGATACTATGAAACAGTAACCCACAAGACGGAAATATTTTCATTATATATATAAAGTATTATTTGGAAGTTATAGTAAAGATACAGTTGAAGTTGAGGGAATTATTTTATTTTATTTTTTAAATAGTTTATTGTCAAGTTGGTTTCCATATAACACCCAGTGCTCATCCCCACAGGTGCCCTCCTCCATCCCCATTACCCCCTTCCCCTCCACCCTCCCCCCACCCCCATCAGCCCTCAGTTTGTTCTCAGCAATAAAAGATCATCTTAAGATAGGTTAATAAGAACAAAGTCACTAGCAACTATATTGATTTAATATCACCCTACTGATACAAATTTACAGAAAAATCTATTCTGTTTTTAAAATAATTTTTATTGCTATTAGTTCCTGATTTCATATTTATGATCTGAACTGTTTTATTATTCTATGTCATTTATATTCAACTTACATGTTTATTTACATACATTTACTATTAAATCAAAATTAATGGGGGAATTCTAGGTGCCTGAACATGCATATTCATCTTAATTGATCTTTTTAGACCTAATCATTTTATGAGTAAATTAACTTGATTCGAATAATACTGTAAAGGTAGATTAAACATGCATTGAATGAACAAACGTGATTATATTTAATGAAATGTTTTCAATTTGGGAAGTTATGCATCATTTACATGCTACCTCAATTTAATAGGAATTTCAGTTATCAAGTAGTTAAGTTTCACTTTTTGAGTTTCAGATTATTAATCACAATTTCTCAAATATTGTGGTTCAGCATATAATACACAAAACTTCTATTTCCTAATTTGCTCTTTTCTGGTATTAGATTTAGTATTTTTATTAAGGCCCCTTCATAGATGAAGCAAGTGTAAGAATCTCATAAACCAGAATATTTTTCTCAAATATTTCACATTTGTTTTAGCCGTGGTGTTTTAAATGTATAATGACCAACTACATAGCATAATATACACTCATTTCTGCAACTGCAAGCAGGGGCTATTGTGAGTTCTTTAAATGGTAATATTAATTTTTTAGAGGGAAATGAAGAGTAATGCTGGTGTTCAAATCTACTAATCTTAGGTGTGCAAATTATAATCAAGCTTGAAGCTTCATTATAATTTCAATATTTGAATATGTTTTAACTCACTAGAATCATGGGATAGAATTTATAAATTTATGCTATGGCATAACAAAGACAACTTAATATTCTAGAACAGAATTCTTTAATTTTTTTAATGTTTTTATTTTTGAGAGAGAGAGACACACACACACACATACACAGAATCCAAAGCAGGCTCCAGGCTCTGAGCTGTCAGCAAAGAGCCCAATGCGGGGCTCCAACCCAGCTGTGAGATAATGACCCAAGCTGAAGTCGAATGCTTAACCAACTGTGCCACCCAGGCTCTTTAATATTCTAGTATAAATAAAACTACAATAAATCAAGATCACTATGATGCTACATATCTCATTCTAATTTTCTGATCCAGAAAGCCAACACTTGTCAGCACCAGTAAGTGTATGTAGAATCAATGTCAATGGTCTTCACATTGTAATGTTACCAGGACTATAATATAACTGCTTCATAATGATAAGAAGTAGCATTTATACTTGATTTCAACTGTATAATGCTCTTCTTTATATGCTCACTTTGTCCTGACTCTTGGAAAAATATATAAATATTCCTTTTTAGAACTGAATTCAAGCTTTGCCACCAATAATTGTTTTGCTTAAGACTAATGTTTTAAAGTAGCTTACCAAAAGTACGGGTTAAAAGAAGGTACACACACACACATACACACCCTGCAGAACTTTGAATTTTTACTCAATCAAGATTAAAAATCAGCCTAGAGAAAAGAAAATTTTTATTTTATTTAATTTAATTTACTCTGTATTATGTGTGATGATATCAAATAAAGAGATAGTGGAGGTGCCTGGGTAACTTAACAACAACTGACTCTTGATTTGGGCTCAGGTCATCTCAAGGTTCGTGGGATTGAGCCCCGCATAGGGCTCCATGTTGACAGCATAGAGCTTGTTTGGGATTCTCTCTCTTGGTCTCCCTCTTTCTCTCTCTCAAAATAAATAAATAAACATTACAAAAAGAATTAGTAAATAGCATCTGACTTCTGGTTTTTAAAGCACAGGGCAGTGTGTGTTGGGGGTACAGTGGTGAGCGCAGCTACTTCCCCAAAGCTGAGAATTCAGTGACACTGAAGAGATTGGTGAACAACAGAGAAGGTACTGGAGAAATTGGGGGAGAGGAGAAGAGATAGAGAGAAATCAGATTTATTAAAATTTACTTCATTTAATCCAGATAATTGCCATATATGTGAACTCCATAAGGATGGGTTAAAACATGATACTGTCCTGAAAGGAAGACATAGTCTAGTCAACATTGTGTTTAAAATGTGAACTCGATATGAGGCACTACATTCGATAACCTGCTTCTCCACCCATAAAGCGAGGCAAACAACACTGTCAAAGGAATAAGTAAGAAGAATCGGTGTTAGTGCTGAAAACGATCTTCTATTAACAGTATTGTCCTCTTTCAGTTTCCTGGATTTGGAACAAATATAAAACCTCACATTGGGAAGGATAGAAGGATTTGAAATACATTAAAAATGTAAACACATTAAATAAATGAAATTTGATTATTTGCAATGAAGTGCAAAACACACACATAAAACAATTCTGATTAAAACTCTAGAGGAATGAGGAAGATTATATAATTTTTCAGTACATAGACTTTAGACAAGTCTCGGATTATCTGAGTGGCAGGGATGCTAATTAAAGGACAAAATCAAGTTTAACTTTTTGAAACCGTGGTAGACAGATGTAGTAGTGAGTGCAAGGTGCTGATAAGGCTGATGGAATTCCTGAATTGACACACTTATCAGCAACTATGGAATTGCTACTGGATAGAAAGTCTGTAGAACAGAAGGCTCAGTACAGCAAAGATCCTGACCTAAAGTGTGTGAATAAAAGCCTGTTCCTGGTCTTGAATTTTCAGAATGAACTTTCTGGAAAGAAAAATATGTTTTCCCCCATGAAATCAAAGAATTGAACAGATCCTTTGATTTCAATGCCCCCTTTAGAACACACAATCCTTAAGCGAAATGAGTGTTTCATCAAGTTACATTTCAAAGACTCAGAAGAGAGATGGAAAGTGATTGGGGAAAAAACCCTCAAATTTTTTCTTGTGATGTGAATTTTTAATTAACTGGGATTTTATTATCTGTAAATTTTCTGTAAATGTGTTGGAAATTAAAGCACTCAAACAGATGGAGAGCTACACCTTGTCATCAATCTCGAGAGAAATGTAAAAAAAAAAAAATGTCACTAGATACTCATGAGAATCACAATTACCGAGGCAACATAATGATATATAGAAAAAGAACAGTTCTACATATTTACATGGATCAGAGAGCATATTCCCTAAAGGATGGACTTGGTTGTTCAGTGGAAAGAACATTGGGTTTCCAAACAACACAAGGCAAAGAAAATATGCAATAGTCAGAAATCTCCACTCTTGAGTAGAAATCACTGAAGTTAAAAGTTCCATCTATATTTATACAAATTTTATTTTTTAATTATATACATATAATATTATGTATACATATAACATATATACATTATATATAATATATACATATATAGATGTATATAGTTTCTTATTCCCTAGGTTACTGTTAAAGCATTCATGTTTACAGGTGTGATTTCATGACCCAGTGAGAAATCTGACTCCCATTTTTTGTTAGGTTACTACTACACATATTTAAGTTGCTTTTGTACTTTTTCTGGGCTCTGATATGAAATAATATTTTCTGAGATACTTTACTCACATTCAATTCTTTTTTATTTTTATTTTTTGGCTATTGGTATAGTACATCATCTCTATAATCTTTGATATAATACATACTCCACATCAAAACCAAATGTTCTGATCTTTGCTACCATTGTGAATTTCAGACCCGTGTCTACTTTCTTCAGGCTAGATATCACATGCAGATTTTAGTAGCTATAAGTGTTGTACCAAAAATGCCACATAATTCACTGAAATGTTTTCTGACTTAGCCTGACCAAAACCCAACGGGCTCTTGTTTTGATGTTGTAAAAGCATGTGAACTACTAAATTTCTCTGAAAGGTTTTAAGGATATTTCTGTGAATTTCAAGAAGTTCATGCTATATAACTTTATGAAAGGAAAAACACTTTACTAACAAAATATTACAACATCCTAAGATTTTAAAGAAGGAAGTTGGGATTATGTTTATGTTTAAAATTGAAGCCCCTTATGATTTAACAAGTAACAAACTTAAAAAAAAACCATAAATATCCCTATTTAAAAACAAAACAAAATAAAACCAATACCTAAGAGAATGCATTTGCAGAGCAAAAAAAAAGTATTTATCTTGATTTTTATCTCATGGGATTTAGAAAACATGTTTTGGAAAATATACATAGCTGTCAGAGTTTGAATTTCCACCCTGAGAGCATTGATCTTTCTCTGATTTTCCTTTCAATTTCAGAGGAAAGGATGCTCTCTCTCTCCTCGTTCAGATTGCTAATCCTACTGCCTGAGGAGTCTCAGTCACTGCCACTTAGCTCTAACTCCTTACATCAGTGTCTTCCTTCTTTCAGACCTTGAACTTTTCTCTGCATACTGAACTCTCCTCACATTTACACACGTACCTAATTTTCAGTTATTTTTTAAAGTAGGTGTAAATGTTTTCTCTGTATTTGTTAATATTTTTTTCATTTTATTTATTTGAGAGAGAGAGAGAGAGAGAGCGAGCACACCGTGGGGGAGAGGGGCAGAGGGAGAGAGAGAGGGAATCCCAAACAGGTTCCACACTCCGCATGGAGCCTAATGTGGGGCTTGATCCCACAACCTTGGGATTATGACCTGAGCCGAAAACAAGGGAGCTCGAATGACTGAGCCACCAGATGCCCCTTTCACATGCTTATTTTAAAATCCTAATTGTCTTTGGCAATTTTCTCTCTCTCATCTCTGATTTTCTTTATTTTATTTTATTTTTAGTTGTTTAATGTTTTTATTTATTTCTGAGAGAGAGAGACAGTGTGAGCAGGGGAGGGTCAGAGAGAGAGGGAGACACAGAATCTGAAACAGGCTCCAGTCTCTGAGCTGGCTGTCAGCACAGAGCCCGACGCAGGGCTCGAACCCACGAACTGTGAGATCATGGCCCGAGCTGAAGTGGGACGCTCAACTGACTGAGCCACCCAGGCGCCCCATGATTTTCTTTATTTTATAAAGTTCAACCTTATCTCCCATTTACTCATTTATTCTCCCTAAAATAGTATTTATTGCCATCATGGAATAAATATTTTCCTTAAAGTCAGTCATGTCCTGCTAGTTGCCAGATTCATTTTGATGCTTTTCAGGCCACATGATACTTGGCTTGCCAGGAGCTCTTCTAAATAAGATCTGCCCCCCCCCCCCCCCCCCCCCCCCCCCCACCCCCCGTCAGTTCTCTGACACTCTTCTGTAGTGTTCTACCTTCTGCCTACACGTGATCACTCTCCCTACTCCCCAAGCTTCTTTCCCTTCCATCGAAAGCCTAAATGTTGTCATTACCAGGGTTCTGCCCATGTCTTTTCTCCATCTGTCACTCTCATTAGCGATTTACATCTATTACTCATTATTCAAAGTGTTCCATAAAACCCATATATGTTTTTAAAATATGCTTTATGTTTTCAGTATGTTCTAAAATCCATGCTCCCAGGCCATACCTCTCTAAAGTTCTAGCCGCGTGCTGTCCAATGTGGTAGCCAGTAGTTACATGTGACTGCTTAAATGTAAATCAACTAACATTAAATCATATTAAGGATCATTTCTTAAATCTTACTGGCCATATTTCAACTGCTTTATAGCATTTCCTGTGTGTAATGCTGACTTTCGTCATTATTATTGGCTACACCAATATTCTTCCAAATCATCTCACTGATAATATTCTTGCATCCTTTCTATTCAGCCTCCACAATGTCAGATACCTAATCATGCTAAAATGTAAATCTGATCAAATCACTCTCTTACTTATAATTCTTAAATGACTGATGGTCATTCACAGGAACACATACCAACTTATCAGAGAATACTGGACTCTCATGATCTGATTTCCAAATGCCTTCTTGGATGTATTTCACAAGATTGTTCCTGGAAAACCGTATTTCACCTTGACAAACTACTTGGCTATTAAAGCTCTAGGCATTTTCTCATACTGTTCTTTACAACAGGAATACCTTTCCTTCCCTTGAGCATCTGGAAGCTCCTGCCAAGTTTTAAAACCTCCTATGAAGTATAATAGCCTTGAGGATTTTTCTTCCCTTCCTCCTAAAGAAAGGTTATATGATATTTTTTATGAGTCTTCATAAACTCTGTGGACCTCTTAGGTTTAGAACTTTTCTTATTTACTGTATAGGTGACATCCACATATCAAACATTGGCAATACCACGGTGAATGAAAGCCAAAATCTTTGTACTCATAGGACTTATGATCTATCAAAGAGGATCCACAAAAATTAAAAAAAAAAAAAAAGCAAAGGTGCAAACTGAATAATTGCAGTTTTGTTAAGGTTGTAATGGAAACAAATGGCGAGAGGTTATGGAGAAGTATGGCACAGGGGAAGAGATGGAGAGTTGCATGAGGTAGGGTGGTCAAGGGTGGCCTCTCTGTGACATGAAAGATGATAAAATGCTAGCTAGGTAAAATGCAAACAGTGCAGAGAAAACCATTATGTTACAAGGATCTGAAAGTGAGACGATGGTGAGGCAAGAAGAACATTCTGGTGTGTGGAAGAGGCCAGCTTGGAGAGAGTGGAGGAGGTGACTCTGTCGCCCAGAACGTGGGGTATGAATTTTGGAGAGCATTCTAGGCATAATAAGAAGTTACTGAAGGGTTTTGAACTGGGGAGTGACTTGATCCAATTTCTGTTTCTAAAGCTCACTCGGGCTGCTAATTGATTTGGAATAGTTCAAGAGTAGAAACTGAGGGGCGCCTGCTTGGCTCAGTCAGTTGAGCAACCAACTTCGGCCCAGGTCATGATCTCACGGTTCGCGGGTTCGAGCCCCACATTGGGCTCTGTGCTGATGGCTAGCTCAGAGCCTGGAGCCTGTTTCAGATTCTGTGTCTCCCTCTCTCTCTGACCCTCCCCCTGCTCATGCTGCCTCTCTCTCTCAGAAATAAATAAAAACAGGGGCGCCTGGGTGGCTTAGTCATTTAAGCGTCTGACTTTCACTTAGGTCATGATCTCACCGTTCGTGGGTTCGGGCCCCGCGTCGGGCTCTGTGCTGACTGCCAGCTCAGAGCCTGGAGCCTGTTTCAGTCTGTGACTCCCTCTCTCTCTGACCCTCCCCTGCTCACGCTGTCTCTCTCTCTCTCTCCTAGAAATAAAATAAAACATTTAAAAAAAAAAAGAAATAAAAACATTAAAAATTTTTGAAAAAAAAAAGAATAGAAACTGAAAGATCATCTGCCAGTAAAGCAAGTGAGTACCATCAAGAGTCTTTATCAGGAAAGAGTAAAAATTAACCTCTGTGATTAAGAATGTGAAACTCTCGGACTCTGATCATGGTATAATGCTGATGGGGATTTAAAGTTAAATAAGCTCATATTTTATTGAGTTTATTAATATTATTATACTATTGAATATGTTTTGAGTAATGTTACTCTAACCATCTTTCCCATATCTGTATTTTTTCTCATAATTTTGTAGACTTTGAAGGTTTTCAGGAATACACATGCCATTTTGTCAAAGGGCTGCATATATACATGTTGCTGTTATTACATCAGAAACATCTGTACTTCTTTCATTGTGTCAAAGATGTTGATTGTTGACAATGAAAGTGTCACATGGTAAAAAAAAAAAAAGGAAACATTAAGAAGAAACATGGGGAGAAACATGCATGTTGCAAATACATAGTTTACAAATTTGAACAAAGAAAGACAAACTAATCTAGTTTCAAAAATGACTTACTCGGGGCACTTGAGTGGCTCAATCAGTTGAGCTCCTGACTTTGGCTCAGGTCATTATCTCACAGTTTGCAGGTTCAAGCCCCACATCAGGCTCTGTGCTGCCTCAGATTCTGTGTCTTTCTCTCTGCCCCTTCCCTTCTCGTTCTCTGTCTCTCTCCCTTTCAAAAATAAATAAACATTAAAAGAAATTTTAAATGACTTATTCAACAGCAAAATGTATTCAAAGTACCCCACCACACGCCGAACCTGCCATCCATAGCTGACCTTCAGTTTCTGAGATTGTGTGTGTGTGTGCGTGTGTGCGCTGTGTGTCTCTGTACTGTCAGGGTGGTAATGGTTAAGTCTTTGGCCCAAGACAAAAAGAAATGTATCTTTTAGTGACAGTAAATATAATATAAAAATGCTTAAATTTGGATGCATATATAGAATTTTTGATAAATATATGACCCCCTTGTTTTAAAATATACCACTTAGATTCCTCCAAGAGGAGAAAGGATACAGTGTGGCTTAGGGGTTGCTGCTGGTGGTGGCTGTGGAGGGAGTGGTGGTGTGAGGTGTGTGTGTGTGTGAGAGAGAGAGAGAGAGAGAGAGAGAGAGAGAGAGGAAGGAAGGAAGGAAGGAAGGAAGGAAGGAAGGAAGGAAGGAAGGAAGGAAGGAAGAATTACCTATGGGTAATTGGTGATTTTTGTTCTGGTTAACATTTTCTAAGTTTTTGATAAAGACGATACAATGATTTTTTTTTCAGCTTTTAGTAAGGGTTTTATTATTGCAATCAATTGCAATGTTGTCAAAACTGACACACTGAACTTCCTAAATAACTGACTCATAACTGGTTCTCCTAAGGCAAGGAGGGTAATGTACTCCTGGCCCTTGATGATTTTCATATACAACTTTGGGGATCATTTACACAAGGGGTAAGTAGGTGAACTGCCACATAAAAAGACCATATATATGGTAAACTCATTTTAAAGCTTAGTCTAACACAGGAGTAGAAATATTTTAAGATACAACAGCACTCTGGTTACAATGATTTTAATTTAAAAAAGTCTTCGGGGTGCCTGGGTGTGTAGTTGCTTACGTGTCCGACTCTTTCTCCTGGGTCAGGTCATGATCTCACGGATCGTGGGTTCAAGCCCTGCATGGGTTCTGCATTGATGGCACAGAGCCTGCCTGGGATTCTGTCTCTCCTTCTCTCTCTGCCCTTCCCTGGCTTGTGTGCTCTCTCTCTCAAAATAAATAAATAAGCTTAAAAATGTTTAAAAAGTCTTTAATCACAAAGTAAGAGTTTATTTTATAAAAAGTAACACTCAGATGTCCTCAATAATTGGCAGGACTTTCATTTTTAAAAGACATTCGATGTTTTTCACAACTCCGAAAGCTAAAATTAAGACAAATAGGTAGAAATTATGAAGAAAAAGCTTTCTTCTCAACAAAAGGGTGGTCATTTAAAGGTAAGGTTTGTTCAAATATTGAATGTTTACCTTACAGGCTGGTACACTCCCTGTTGCTGATAGTATTCAAACACTGAAGAGACAACAAAAGGGAAAGTTGCAGAGAAGATTCAAGAACTAAATACATGGATACATCAGATAATCTTTAATAATTACAATGGTTAGACCCTGTGACTCTTTTAGACTCTGCCTTTGTCATCACCTCTGCCAATAAACCATGTGGCCTTAAACACATTATTAACTCTGTCGCCCTTTATACTTTTTCATTAAAGTTATACTAAATGATCTTTATGGTGCCATGAAGCTCTATAATATTTTACTTAATTTTTATAAATATTAGATGTTTGCATTCTGCTTTGATTACATGATTTTCCTGCTTACGGTCATAGATTGGGTCTCTTTACATACCATTGAGGTTACCAAGGAAACTATTTCCAAAATATATTATTACTTGTTCAGAAAATCACAACTACAAAACAGTTTCAAATCTGTTTCTTTTATGGTAACTGCAAAGAGAAATTAGATTTTTGAATATCATACTGTTTAGAATTTTCCATTGTAATCCTCCCTCTATATATTTATTACATTATGAAGTCAACATAATTATTTTTATTTCTAAAAAGTACTATTTTTTAGGCTAAAATGTATATTTTTGTTTGGATAAGGAAAATACATAGGCTTATACTAGAATTAAAAATTTCTTATTAGGGATACAATTTTACAAATCCACATATGCATCTTTATTTGTTATACCTGGAAAAAAGACAGTCTATATTAGTTTTCCCCCCCTTAATAGGGTAGTTATTATATAACACTCATTTTTCTTATAACCCTTATTTGAAGCATTTGGAGGGAATATAAAAGCAAAATACAATGTTCCTACTTAATGATTTTATAATATGCCAGAGAATATTGTTTTAACATTACCATGAGAGCTCTTAGCATTTTGGTGGATAAACCTAGACGTGCCGGTAATCTCTGGTGTGTGTGTGTGTGTGTGTGTGTGTGTGTGTGTGTGTGTGTGTGTGTATAGAGAGAGAGAGAGAGAGAGGGAGAGAGGGAGTATGTTTGTTTAGAGGCTAAATCCATGAATGTTTACAAATCCACTGGTCTCTATACTCCTCAAACAACCTGTCCTTTGCCTATAAAAAGGAAAAGATAGGCTGTTTTTCCCCCATTTGCAGTTACTGAAGACAACATGGTGAGGCTATTATCAAAGTTCCAAGTTGTAAATCCTGAAGCTAATTTATTTTTATTAGTCTACTGTAGTTGCGGGCAAAGGATCACCTTCAGGAAAGCAGTGTCCTCCCCTCTATCTGAGCGCACGTCTTTAAAGGAAAATACATGAAGCGGGTGGGAGTGACAGAGGACAATCTGATCAAATGTCTCAATCCTAAAGACAAATTAGTTCACGAGGGTGCATCAGTGTCACATCTGCTTGATGACAGGTGGAAATCTCTACTCCTTCATGTGTTGGATCAAGTAGTCAAAGATTTATTAGGGATTCTTCTGTATCCGATCAAGACTATTTTGCAGGCTGAGGATATAACGTGAAATGAAACACAGTCCCCAATGGGTGAATTTTCTGTGGTAGGTAAATTATGGCTCAGTAGAGCATTTTAAACAAGAAGAAAAAATCCCAGACCTCAGGGAAAATGCTGCCAAGTGGAGAAGGCGCATTGTCCATAACTGATAGTAAATACCATGTGGTGATCCATAAATTATAGATTTATATACTGTTTCCTTGGGATTCAAAGAGAAAGCCATTAGTTGTAGGCGTGCCATGGAGGGCGTAAAAATGGTTGCTAGAGGAGACAGACTTTTACCTAAATATGTGAGTAGTTATTTCCCCAGTGACTATACAGAAGCAAAGAATTCTAGGAAGAGTAAGCAAAGTTTTTAAAGGAATGGAGATGAGAAAGAGCTCCTCATTCTATGCCAGTCTCCACTCTTAGAATAAGTGGCCGTACTTTTACACAATGACTTTCCCGCTATGTCATGTAGAGTTTCCGTTATCCCAATTTAGTTCTAAATCACTTAGCGACCCTTATTATTTCCTACCAAACACTGTTCTTTTTAGTGATTGTATAAATTTGGACCTGTGAAAGAACTAAACGAAGTCACAGGAAAAAATAATTAAGTTTCTATCGCTCAGAAAAGTTAAAAAACTTCTGCCAGTTTGCACAGCCACCAAGTACTGCATCTAGAAGATGGAGCAAAGGGATGAGCAATGAAAATACCAATGATTTCAGTGGAAAATTGGAACCAGACATGGTAAACACTCTCATTCTTTTATCCCACAGTCCCAACCAATGTTTGGTCTAGGCAGGTAGGAGCCAGAGTTCTATTAGGGCTGCTTCCGAATGAAGCTGGTCCCTTCATAGCCCTAAGGATTTTTGTTCTTGCCTTAGTGTTTAGATCTCCACAGATTAAGATTTTACCGGAAACCCCAGTCCCTTGAAACAACAAAACAATAAAGCAACAAAAACAACAGCACTTACTGAACACAGTATGTACCAAGCACTGTCCTAAGTGTTGCCCGTATGAACTCAGTTAATTCTTAGGAAAACATTATTATTAGTGCCCCTTGCGATGGATATTGAGATCAAATAACTTGATAAAATCACAAGGGCTTGATACATGTATTCTTGATCCTGTGCTCATTTTTCCTCACCCTGTATTACACATTTTGCTTTTAGTCCGCTACTGAATGACCATTCAGTTTCTCAGCAACTAGGTTTTTATCATGCCCCTCAATTCTCTAGTGATTGTTATTACCTGTGTAGTAAGCGGATCTCGTAATTCGGAACCTCAGTTTCTTCATTACTGTTACTACCAGAGAGTACTTTTGAGTCCCTACCAACACTGCCGGACCTTCTTTAAATGTTAGCCAGTCTCTCAGGTCTGAGGCTTCTTTGCAAATTGAGTCTTGGCTGTGGTATTGACCTGTACTCAAGGTAATGAAATCCTATTTGTCACACCTCCACTGGCTCTTCACCTGCTAAGGAATATTTTCGGGTTCATAGATGCCCATTTGGTTGTATCTAATAAATAAATAAATAAATAAATAAATACCCATGGTAAATTCTAGGCATCTGATCTCTTCCTTCCCACTTTCTAGTCTCAGCCTCTCAGTTAACCTGGCTCAATCCACTGTGGATGCAACCAAGAAAAGGAGCATTATTTAGTCTTTTGCTCGTTAGTTAGATGGTGGAAGATGGTCAGTAACGTATCCTCCATATGGAGAAGGTACTTTAATACAGAAAAACAAAGGAAGCCTCCATACCACTTACACAGAGATTTTATTCAGGGTAACTTACTGACAGGGACAATGGATGAATGGAAGATCCGGGGCCCTATCTATGCAGGTATTCTCTGCCCCTATTCTTCCCCAAATCCAGACCTGAATCTCCAGCTTTTATGGAATGAGAGGCATGATGGTGAGGTCACAAGGTTGTTACCTAAAATGGGGCGCTCTGTGCTCCGTGTGGAGAACAAGATGGAGGGCCGAAGATGCGATCAGTGTTGACAGCATTTCTACACTCATGTCAGACGTAGCAATGGTGAGTAACTGAGGGTTTCACTCTCAATGTTAAATTGAACCCAGAGGGTTAAAGCTCGGTAGGGGTGTATGGCAGGCTAACTCTTACTTCCTTCACTATTTCTGGACAGTAATTCAGATTGAACACTTAACATTCTAAAAGCACTCTACAGTTAACAGAAAAGTAGAAGGCATAAATATTGTAACATGCAATCTCTTCCTTTTGTCTTGAACTTTTAAATCTTTTACTCAATCTTTTCATGTCCTTAGAATTAACCGAGTTTATTTCTACACTGAACTCAAACATCAGTTATGCAAATCAAAGGCAAATTGGGTTTTTTTTAAGCTAGAATGCTTAGAATACTCTCATAAAGGTTCATTATGCACAGGGAATTTAGCATCTCCTAAATACCTCCAACAAGTATAGTAATTACCATAGCAACTTATAAGATTAAATTTATTTGGCAAAGCAGTTTTTCCAGGTTTATTTGGTTATTGTCCAAATTTGTGATAGATTTGCTATCCAGAGAATTTTTGTTATTCTGTGCAGTTATTAGCCCTATGACATTATGATCATTTTAATGATATAAAGCTGTATTATGACTTTTAAATACTCATCCTAGAAGTTAATTTCTTTAGTATATTGGAATACTTAAGACCACACTTAAAACTGCTTTTTTTTTTTTTTTTAACATTTATTTATTTTGGCAGGGAAGGCACAGAGAGAGAGGAAGAGAGAGAATCCCAAGGAGTCTCCGTGTTGTCAGTGCAGAGTCTGACACGGGGCTTGATCCCATGAACTGTGAGATCATGACCTGACCTGCTTAACTGACTGAGCCACCCAGGCACCCCTTAAGCACGCTTTTATTAGCAGCACATTAACAATTTTGTTTAAATCCAATTAGCTCTCTGCTTTGGATACTAAACAGACATGATAGGATTATTTACATAAATGGCACAGCTTATTTTCTATCAAGTCTTCATTTAAGCTTTAACTAAATAAAACAAGTTTTCTTCAAGTCAATTCTCTTGTTATTCCAAAGGTTGGCATAAACTAATTGAAAATATTAATTTCAGAAATGAGAATGAGCTATCAACTATTTCATCAAATACCCCACTCCACTCTGGCTCCATTACAAACAGCTCTTGGGGCACCTGGATGGTTCAGCTGGTTAAGCATCTGACTTCAGCTCAGGTCATAATGTCATGGTTCGGGAGTTCAAGCCAGTATCAGGCTCTGTACTGATGGCTCAGAGCCTGGAACCTGCTTCTGATTGTGTGTCTCCTTCTCTCTCTGCCCCTCCCCTGCTCATACTAAGTCTCTCTCTCTCAAAAATAAATAAAATAATAAAAAACAAAACTAAACAAACAAACAAAACCCCCAAGCAGCTCTTAGATCTCTGCTAATTTTTTCTGCTTCTTAGGAACCCGATTGTATTAAGGAAAATTGAAGCTTTAAACTACCAGGATCTACTCTGATTCTAATAGATATGATCCCACACTCCTTCAGATAAGACAGTGTATTAGTTTTGTAAGCAGTTGCAGATTTACTAAACTTATCATGAAAGTGAAGCTGGAGGTGGATATTTTAGTTGTGAATTTTCCATTTTCCACTCCAAATTAGAATTCAAAAGGGCCACGATATTAAAAACTTTGTAGGCTCTCTGTATTCACTGATGGAACGTTTAGATGAAAAGTGAAAAAATATTTCCATCAATCAAATATTTTTGCCTACATAGTATCAGA